ACGAAATATCTCCCTTTGGAGTGGACTTTGAGATTTGTAACTTTCTAGATCTTTTTAATGCCCAAACATACACACTACACACTGGCTAAAAATAAAAAAGTGAAAAAGCATAATAGGACCCCTTTAACAGAACAGGCACTATTTTTGGAATTAGCACCCCAAAATTAGTAAGAAACAAGTATTGGATTTCATTCAGCAAATATGAAGTAGGGTGTATATTGCTCGTATTTAGGGTTTGAACAAACCCCTAAACCAAAGTATTAAATGATTGGTGCATAACTCTTTTTAAAATCTTTACTTCAAAAAAAATCAGCCTGTGATTTGAAAGATGCCTGAGCAAACAGCTGTGATGTCCATCTGAATGAACTGGAAGTGCAAAGGTAGATGCAGCAGTGATGATTCACAGTGACACTTGTGGAAAGAAGGTAGCATTCAGTATTGCTGTCATTGGCAGTGAGGTTTTATGTGGGGGAAAAAAAGAGCTGTCAAAGAGCATCAGCGCACCTCCTCTGAAGAGTGGATCTGGGATGATTTCCACCATGAGTGACCCTTACGCTGCAGCACAGCTGAAAGCTGCTCGCTGACTGAGATGGACTTGATTTAAGATCATCACTGTGAGCGTGACACACACATCCAGCCATAAACTAACAGGACACTGTCTCCTGCCCTACAGCTCCAGGACAGGACATACTGGGACAGCCTCCAGTGCACAAAATCCAATTTCTGTGTCTGTAGTTTCAGCTGCACTGTCAGATTAACGCAGCAGATTGAAGGCGTCTCAGTGAGTGCTTTGATCCGGTTGTTGAGTGAATCTGTCATTTCGCATCCAATTTTCTCATTGAATCAGCTGATTTTGTGGCATTATGGGGCTTAAAGAAGAAAAATCATCGTCTTAAGACTGTCAGTGAACTCTATTTTTATGCCCTTGTGTATAAGCGGTGTATCAGATCTAGTTGTTGGCATCGTGGGTTGTGTTTTGTGTCATGACGCTGTGACTCAGATCGTTGCGCTAATCAAATTTTCCATCCGTTTCATTGCCACATGCTGCGCGTATCCTCAAATGCCACACAGTTAATGATATAATGCAAATAAATGTGCTGAAGAAGTTTCAAAATGCAAAAGTCGTTTAGTCCTCCGCTTTCAGGGAATGTGATGGAAATATTGAACTTCATGTAAGGGGAGTAATTTGGTTAAAAGTGGCACTAATTATGTGTCTGAAGAGGCCTCTTCATGTGGATGGGCTGGATATTTTAGGTTGTATCGCATGAAACTGAGCAAAGGCATTAGAGGAAAAGCTTTTAAACCCATCTCAAACATTGGCTCTTCAGCCCAGAAAACCCATCTTGACAAAGGCAGGAGGGGAAAAAGATCAAGCCTGTTGATTGTTAATGATATCATCAGTGTTAATATTTTTACAGTGTTTTGGTTGTTTTGATTCCCTAAGCATACCCACATTATAATTTTAATTATTATAATTTTTTAATATTAGATTTTGAGTTTTTTTATGAGTATTATCACTCAGATGTCTTGCTTTATTTTAGTTTTTTTATTGTAATTTTTTTTTTACTAAATAGATTTTTATATATTTCTATTACTCAGTTGTCGTTACCTTTTTTATTTTTAAAATAATATTATATTTGCATTTCTCATTTTTTAAAATAATGTTTTATTTTTTTGAATATGAATCCATTCACTTATTTATTACCTTTTATTTTTTAACTTTTTTTGATTCGTTTTTTTTTTTTTTTTCATTTCTCATTTTTTTATTAATAGAAATGGGTCACAATGGCCAGATTAGTAAGATTATTTAATCTTTCCTCTTCCTTTTATTTTTTTTAAATTTTTTTTTTTTTAGAAATCACAATGGCCTGAGGTTGACATTTTTTTTTTGTTGGTTAGTTTTCATTATTTTCTTAACTATATAATTAAAGGGATAGTTCACCCAAAAATGTTGGGTGAACTAAAAAAAAAATTTGATCCAAACATGTATGAGTTTCTTTCTTCTGTTGAACACAAAAGAAGATATTTTGAAGAATGTTGGGAAACAAACAGTTGCCGGTAGCCAAAAAAAAACTATAATGGAAGTCAATTGACAACTTGTTTGGATACAAGCATTCTTCAAAATATCATCTTTTGGTTTCAACATAAGAAACTTCTACAGGGGTAAGTACAACATAAGGGTGAGTAAATGACAGAATTTTCATTTTTGGGTGAACTATCCCTTTAAGCTTTCAAATAAAAACTGAATGGAAAAAAAACCTGCTAGTGGGCTAGCTGTTCAGACAACCCACTGACTAGTCGATTTTTGAAAATGTAGTTTTGTACATCCTCATAATAGATTTTGGCTCTACCCCTGCCCTGGTGAAATGAAGGGGTATGTTGTCACATTCAGCGTTGTCTCAGCTCCTGTTGCTATTTGCGGCAGGGGACGGAAGTAAGGCCCTGTTGCCTGGCATTTGTGCCCTTTCATGTGATGTGAGAGCTGTTGAAAGGGTCACAGGACATTAATTTGCGCGCAGTGGGGGTGCAGGTGTTGTTCTCAGGGGAACGAGTCTGTGGTCTGGGGCTTGTAATGTTATGATGGTGACGTGCTGACAGGATCTGTCCTCTCTAATTCTCTATGTGCAGACACCACACCAACCCGGTGGGCACGGAGTGGCGCTGGAAAATGGACCCGGCCGAGAAGATCATTCAGGAGGCTGTGGAGAACCACAGGAACATGATTCGCCAGTTCAGAGGTAAGGACTCCCCGGAGCATCGCTGTCTGTTACCTTCAGCTGAGCTCTTCTGCTGCCTTCAAACAAACAACAGTGGATTGAAAGGGTTGGTTCATTACTAGATAAACTTATTGGCCACAGTCTACTTTCTATTGCACACCAAATTTGATGGCAGCAAATGACATGAAAGGTATTTGTGCATCAAATTCAATGTCGACATTCTGGTCTTTTTGTTTTTTGGCTTAAGTTACAAGTGAAATAAAAGTATGCTTCAGAAGTCTTGTTGTGCCAAAAACTTATATAGAATATTCTCACATGCTTTTAATAGGCCTTTACACTGTAATTGTGCAGAAATAACTAGTTTTGTTTTGTTTGTCTGTCTGGTGAGATATAAATATAGCCAAATATATTTAAATCCTTTTTCCTCAGAGGCACATATCCAGTTGGAAGCTGTTCAAGCATTGTGTGACATAACACTATGTTGACATCTCTACACTCTGAACACCCTCCCGGTTTCAGAGATTGTCCAACAGACACTGGGGTATATTTAGCTGTCACTACGGTTTGCAGAAGGCAGTAACAGGACAGGCTCTAAGTGCAGTTCGACTGGGTCTAATTTATTCATTTGCACCCTGTCACTTTCTTCAGCATCTGCTGCATCAGATCAGTAGTGGATCCATCAGCTTTCAGCAGCATTAAGGGGATGAGGTTTGTTGCTGGGTCAGATTGACAGGCTGAGATCAGATGGAAAGGGCATCTCGCTGAGACGTCATTTGTAAAGCAACATTGAGTTATGAGAGTTATATTGATCTCATTGGACCATACAGATGTATTTAGGGGACATAGTTTTTTAAAATCATTTTTATTTTATTTTATTATAGATTTTATTTTAATTTTATTAAAAAAAAAAAAAAACTTTTTAAAAATTATTTTATACCTTTTTTTTTTTGGTCAGTAAAGAGCGTACAGTTGGTAAAGAAAATATTTCTTTAGCCCCATTTGGATGAAAGTAGTTTTCCTTTCTGGATAATTGGTGTTTCATAGATCACATCTGAATTGTGTATGTGTTTTTCTTCAAACAACCTCTGAAAAATATAATTGATCAGATTATATACTGTTTTTCTTCCAACTCTGGCATCCTCTGAAAAATCTAATTCCATATGAATAGGAAATATCTGTGATTGCAGCATTAAAAATTTTCACAACGCTGCTTATTTATTTTGACCGTCAGCTACCATAACTGAAGTGAAATTTCCCATTGCATTGCCTTGTGCATCTTCATCATTAATTTAGAACATTTTGCAAACTTTCTGGGTGATATAACAGTTGATGGTTAGTGCTGAAATCTGATGTAAAAAGAAAATGTTCTCCAATCACAGACTGCACAAAAGTTAACTTATTCTTTCATGAAGTTTATGTTTTGGGGTGGTGTGGTGGGTTCTGGGCTGTTAACTGAAAGCTTGTAGGTTCAATCCCATGATATTAATCAAATGGTCGTCAAAACTAAAGGGTGGACTGTATGCAGGATTGTATGCCATTCAGAATTAAAAATGTTTTAAAATTTCAATTCAGTTCCTGAATTGCAAACAGACTACAGAATTGTCATTTGAGTTCAAGGAGGTAGAATTAAAATGGTAAAAAATCATATGCTGTAAGTGTAGTTTTAATTGCAATAATACAGAATATCCTGTGACCAATTTGTTTTAAATTCAGGTTCATGAATTGATAGTGAGCCAATTCCCAAACTCTCACTGACTGTAAATTGCTATGCATAAAAGCACCAGCTAAATGACAAATTAGTAAATTAAACAGTGGAATGAATCATGCTGCTTTTATCAAGTCAAATGTTACTGCCAAGGGAAATCATTTCTGTTTTGATGGCAAATTCTTTGTGATCTAGGTAAGTCATGGCAGAAAATGATGTCCCCCACTCTTAGGACTATTTTTGTAACGACATACCAATATTGTGTCATAAAACAATCTAATGCCAGCAAATTTTCTTTTCCCTCCAAAATGTGCTTGTTGGGACGTAACACATTCCTGTCTCTCATTCCTCATCTCAACAATCAGGTGACGTCATCAGCTCATAATGGGTTGTGATTTCACTGCCAGATCCAGAGTTCAAGTACTTTGGTGGACATCTGGATCAGACTTTCTTGGGATTGAGGGGTCACACACGATGGGTTTTCAAGGATCTTAAGATGGGAACTGAATCCTTTTGTGCGTTTTCTTAGCGTCTGAAGCAACTCCCTTAACATCACTGGTTTTGTTTTACCGCACTGCCTTCATACTCCAGAATATGGGGTGATTTGGAGACTGCTTGATGTGTTTTTTTTTTCTCCGTCTGCAGTAGTCTGAAAAATTCATCAGAGATGTCTAGCGTAGATGGCTACAAAACAGATCTGCAGCTAAGAAAGGGAGTTTTCTGATGATATCTGCCGGGAATGTTATTAGGTGGGGTGGCACAGTCAGCACACAAAGTCAGTTTGATTCGATTTTATCATTCGCAAATTAAAGTTTCTGCTGTTCGAAACTCAAGACATCTGTCTTTGATCATCTGTTTTCAGTACAGATGTCAAACTTTTGTATTTTCTAAAATTACTCACGACCTACTATTTTAGTTATTATTTTTCAGAAATGTAATATTGTTCCTATCGAGCGTCTCTTTTTCCTTTTGAGTTTCGAGAAATGGACCGGGATTTTTTTTCTAAAGCAGTACATATTTTTTGGTCCAAAGATTAGCACTTTTGATGCATCTGAGCCAGAGGGTCCTGATGGAGACTACTGTAGGTTTTGTTCCAGTGTCTGAGTTAGTGCCAGATGTGTGTGTGCAAGTTTGTGTGTGTTGTACCACCTCCGCACCGTCGTATTGGTCTCACCATCCTCTCTAGCTTGGTGGCGCAGTTGACATTTAGCAGTGACACCACTGCTCCATGTAGCAGAAGTAAGCCATGATGACCCAGGGCTGAGTAAACAAACGCACTAACAAGTGAGCACAGAGTGGATGAAAGGCCAGGAAGCATGCTGTGCAGAGAGTACAGAGCTCAACATTGGAGCCAGACTCCTCAGTGAGCAAGAAAGAGGGTTTTTTTTGTTTTGGGGGGGGGGCAAGATTGCTAATTCACAGGAAACCAATTTCGAATTTGCCTGCAGTCCCCCATTTGTCCAAAGATGTCTCTTTGGTTTTCGACTTAAATGGGTTGCTTTTGCTGTCTATAGCCTAATTGTTTGTTTTTGAAAATTAAAACCGTTTCTCTGAGTTGAATTTGCTGAGACAAGATATTTGTTGATTGGTTGATTTCACTCAGAGTAAACACTGTGACTCTGGTGCTTTAAAAACATTGCCGTTTCATCATCCCAACATGGGGTGAGTTTCCCAAAAGCATTCTTAACCTACTAAGTTCTGTTGTTACCAATATAGTTCAACGATTCAGTGTTTTCTGAAACGATAGTCCCAAAAAACATTCGCAAACAGCATTGTGGAGTTCTGTGCAGTTCAATCAGTATATCGAAATAGTCCTCACATGCCATGTTTATAAATTTACATAAATAATCTGACATTATTTCGTTCTTGAACCAAGAAGTTATTACTCCACCACCTGCATGATTTAATTAACAGCAATTCTATATTGTTGAACCAACATGGTTTGAACGAAGGATGTTACTACAGTCTCTGGAAACAGTTGTGTCTAGCTAGGTCATTTTGTAGTATGGTAGTAAAGAGGTGAGTTAATGTTGTTGTATGGGAATCGCACCTCAGCCTGCCATTGGCTCAACCAATGGCGTGAGTTGGGTGTGGGATTATCTACTTAATTGGCCAATGGCAGATTTAAGGAGAGTTTGAAAAACTTGTCTTTGCAATTCTGCTTGTGTTCCTAGTTGCGAAGAAACTACACACTTTAACTTTAACAAATGCCACCGCAATCTGATCACTGAACATTTTTTAAGCATTTGGTTTGTGTTTCACGTGACAGGTGTGCCAGGAGTGCGTCCCGAGCGCTTTGAAGAGGGCCTCACCGTGAAGCACTGTGCTCTGTCTCTGGTGGGCGAACCCATCATGTATCCTGAGATCAACTCCTTCCTTCGACTCCTTCATCAGCAGAACATATCCAGCTTCCTGGTCACCAACGCCCAGTTCCCTGAGGAGATCAGGTGGGATTTAAAGTCTTTAGGTAATGGGATCTACCGTGGGCTAAATTGTTCAGCTTGGGGACTAAATGCTGAATCGGCTACTAAAAATCACATGTCAGTCATCCACTAATCTTAATATAGTGAGCACACATTCCTTTCAATGTCTATGATGATCAAAGTTTTGTTATGTATCTTGTCATTTATGATTAAGTGATTCTGATCTGGTGCCTACAGACAAAGCCTGTTTTTGAATGCGTTTGTTCTCTGTATATCTGCAGTAGTTCTAACAGCTGAACATCCTCCAACTTGAAGTTTTTCCCTCAGTCTTTGAAGTCCCACTTGGGCTGTAACTGGACTGATAAGCCATAATCATGCACTGAATTGCAAATTACAGCTTCTTTGACTCCCAGCTCCTTCAATTCCACCAGATTGTGCTAAATTCATGAGTTTTCAGGAGCAGCCAAAAAGCTTTTAGCTCTCTCACTCTTTCTGCTCCCCAGCTTAATGCAAAATACATCCTCACCTCATTCTCCCGACTGCTGCACGCCGAATCCTCTCACAGATCAGGCAGGTTATCTGAGGGTGAGGGGACATCACCCCAGCTGCTGGAATATCATGTTGACAGTGTGCTGAGGAAGTGAGAAACACTTGTCAATCGTTGTTGTTTATCTCGTAGCTGCAAGCTTCGTCACGCTTCTCTGCTGAAGCAGGCCTTTTCTGTGTGATAAACAAACCAACAGAGGCAAAAAATGATATTCACTGTGGGTCCCAGCACTGAACCTTCCCTGCTTTCTTAAATGCTGTTATAATGAGATCCTAGACCTGCTGCTTTACTCATATCAGTATGCTAATGTTTTATTGCGTTCTTTTCAGGAGGAAAGGATGAAATGGTACACCGGCACAAACCTCACACTAACAACTCAAAATTATCAGTGATGCTGAGACTTATTTCAATGATCTTGATTGGTTTATATATTTAAAGAGCTTGTGTTTTAGTACAGTATATTATTTAAACAGTATTTTCTTTTTTAGTTTTATGTATGTGCTGTAGACAGAAATGAATGTGTAGGGCAAGAGAGCACTTCTATTCCTCCATTTTCATTTGAACAAAGTAATTAAAAAAAAATCTGCAGTACAGTTCTAAAACATTCACTCTTAGATTTTAGAACAGAATTCAGTAAAATTATTTACAGTATTTTTGCGTAATAATATGTATTGTTTTTTGCCTTAGTACTTTTCACTAATTTTAGGATTCTTCACAATGCATGACACTGAACAACTGGAACAACTGTAACCCATATAACAAACAGATACTAGATAAATAAGAATAAAAAAAGCTGGAATAACCCTGAGTAAACTTAAGAGTTTTAATTAGGTTTTAAATGTGTGAAGGACCCAAGGAGGGCAGTCTGAACCTGGGAACCGTTAAAGGGCATCTATTATGCCCCTTTTTACAAGATGTAATACAACTCTCAGGTGTCCCCAAAATGTGTCTGTGAAGTTTCAGCTCAAAATATCGACTGGCCAGGAACCGGAGTTAGCATGATCGGCCTGGACCAGTGACCGGCCGGTCAGTCTGCCAATTCCGAGCCGGTCCGTTTTGACATCACACTTATGCTCACATTTGCATGTAAACATGTCGTCAGCATGGAAGTTCATCTCTGTGAGTGAAGAAGACACAAAGTTCGCCATTTGTAATACATGTAGGCCCAAAGTAAATCATGGGGGAACCACAGGGCTCGATTAATGCTTGTATGGGATCTATGCTAATAGGGCACTGTCCGTCAACAGTCGTGGGTGGGGCCTGTACAAAGTGACGTCATTTTGTACAGATTCTGTGAATGGCTTGTTCTGAGACACTGCTTATAATTTATGTGGATTAAAAGAGTAGGTAGATTTTTATCATTGTAGGTTGGTGTACACACACTGCCAACACACATTTATGTTGAAACACCATGTAAAAGTGAATTTTGCATAATAGGTGACCTTTAATAAATTGGCAGAGCAGGAAAGAAGTTGAATCGAGTAATCTAGATATTGTGGTGCAAGGAGGTGGAGGAAAGATGTTTGACAAGGTGGTTCATGTGTGACTTAAAGCTGAGGATGAAGTCAAAAATCAGACCTAGATTGGTATAATGGATGAGGGATTCAATAAAATGTCTAAACACAGATTGGAGTGAGATGAAACGACTTTGGTGTTTTCAGGACTGAGTTTTGGAAAGTTAGACATGCACACGTTTTAACGTCATGCATACAAGTGTATTAGAAGTGGAAATCCTGTCCAGGTCTGTCAGCAGATATAGATTTGCATTTCATTGGCATAGTAATGGTATCTGAGTACATGGCATCAAATTATTTATGTAAATTAAAAAAAGGAAAGGGCCCAGAACTGAGCCCTGGGGGACACCATGAGCAATGGGAGCAGGACTTGATTTGGTTATCAGTAGGAATTAATGCCTTTCATTAATGTAGGATATTAACCAGAGGAGAGCAGTATCAGTGATGCTAAATGCTAATATCTGGAAAATATTGTGGCAGACTGTCAAAAGCCTTGTTGAGATCTAGGAGTTCAAAAATAGCTAAGAATCAGAACACAAGAGGAGGTTTTCATCTGCCTGCTGAGATTTTTGAGAATGTATGTAAATCCACTCTTCAAGATGTTTTTAAGATGACTCCAATGTTTGAACGAGACACAGGGTCAGCATATCAGCTTGTCTGTTTTGAAAATCAGTGGCTGTATTGACTTGTCTACTTGCCCATAGGGAAACCACAAGGAGGATTTTGCCCATTACTTATCACTCAGATACCTTGCCTTACTGCATAGTGGCCGGCAACGTTTACACTGTAGACACTGATATTCCCTAATTAGAAAGACAATGTCTTTACTAAAATGATGATAGGGTGAGATGAACTGAGTGACTGAGTCTTTTTTTTGGCTAATGCAGCTCTGGCAGTTGGTACGGTACATTGTCTGAACGTACACATTTCCTACTCTTGGCTTAATTCCAGTTTTCATCTCAAAAACTCAATCACTAAGTTGTGTGCTGCTTAATTATGTTTTCCTGATGCTTATACACTCCAATATTCTTCAGTTTTGTTAATATGTTAAAAAGCAATATTTTCTTTATACAATGCTAAGTTAATTATCCCTCCAACTACTTTTCTCTATCTATAGGAGTCTTGTGCCCGTTACACAACTTTATGTCAGCGTTGATGCCAGCACAAAAGACAGTCTGAAGAAAATTGACCGCCCCCTTTTCAAAGACTTCTGGCAGCGTTTCTTGGACAGTCTCAGATCTCTTGGTGAAAAGGTAGGTCCACTGTGCTGTAATCCAGATAAAACAAGAGTTTTGACTCTGGTAGAACAGTTGATTTGTTTTGAGCATGTAATACTGCCATCTCACTGACTTCATAGTCACACAACCTGAAAACCACATTTAAGAATTAGAAAAAAATCTGAAATTCTGGTCGTAGTGGTGGGACTGTTGTTCTAGACATATAAGGCATCTTTTGCAATCTTAGTCTGAAAGAAGCCGAGTCCATTTTTTTAGGACCAACTTTTGTCAATAGTCACCCATGTTGACCTTTGCTTAGCAAGAAACCCAAATAGAACTGTAATTATCAAGAGTACAAGACCCTGGGTAACACTGTATGCTGCTTGTGATCTTTAAATAGTGTGCAGATCCTAATGAATCAGCTAGAGCTTGGACATCAGCACCATTGCTCTTAAATTACTTGTATTGAAACTAATAATCATTGGCCTGTGATGATTATTACAAACATTGTTTGAAGACAATGAAGACAGAAAGAGACTGGTAATTATTTAGCTCTCCACAATCGCTCAAGTCAACATTTATTAAGTGTTTTACAAGGTTAATAGTTCTGTTGTGCATTACTGCGTGTGTTAAATGATTGTTTAATTGCCAAAAGCTGTTCTTCTTGCTTCTCTTCACTCATTATTTTTCATGTAATTCATATCAGGCCTGTACAAAACACTGTGGAAATCCTTGCTATCGATTATGTTAATTCCAAACATCATGACTGCAAAGCTCCAGGATTTATTTAATCTTAACCCAAATCCTGTGATTTATCTGAGTAATAACGTTCGTTGGCCTGTAACAATGTCATTTTTTTTTACCATCAAAAGAAGGTGCTGAATAAACGCCTTCAGGTTTAACTGGATTATTGAGGTGAAGTTCTGTTAAAAATGCTAGTTTGATGAAGTGGATGCGTAGGCGCTGTCCGTCAACGGCTCTTACTTTGGGCTCAGCATGCTGAGATGACAAAAGCAGTTTGTTATACGGGGGGGCCATGGCATTACTGCTTAATGATTTTAAGTGCCATCATTCAGAGATGATTCACTGTGCGTGTGTGCTAAACTTCTGTAATGACTTCCCTGCATTTGCCATTGAACAGACCGCTCATTCTATGTGTGTGTGTGTGTGTGTGTGTGTGTGTACATATGTGCATATGTGAGTCATAAAAAGAAAGACACACGAACAGAAAGTGCTCTTCTGTTTTCTAATGAGTTGAGATCACCTGCAGTGTCGCTTTCTAACTGAAGAGAGCAACTCGACATTGATGGCACTGTAGGCAGCAGGATTGTGAGGCATTCAGGATAGTGCTTTTATCCAAAGCGACTTGCGAATAAAAGAAGCAATAAGCCAAGGAAATGCATATGTAAAGTTTTATTTTGAAGATAAACGTCCTATGTCATTCCAACTGGCCATTCCTGTTTCAGTGGGCGATTTGTGACCAGAATAAGCTGCAGTGTTACCAGACTTTATGCTGATGGTGAAAGTCTGGCTCTGTGAGACAAGAGCGAGGATTTCATGTGACTCACACCTGCTGTATCTCCATCGCTTGAACTTCACCTGTCTAGACTCACACTGATTCCTTAAACAGTTTGTTTTCCATTTTCTGTACTAATTGTGCCATGGCTTATTCATAATTCTAACATTTGAAAGATTTTATTACGAGGCATTTGTTTCTGACTTCTATTTGTCAGAGATAAATAAGACGCAAGTATAAATACAAAATCATTAATGGCTGTTTTATTCTCAGCATTCATCACCATAACAGTTCTATTCCATTTTTTCCCTTTTCCCCTGTAACTACAACATTAGGTCCTCATTAAGTTTGCTGTTAGTGCGAATTCTGCTTAATTGATTCTCAGATATTGGCCAACAATCTGTATTTATTATATACGGTTTAATTTTGTGGTTTCTTTTTTCATGTAATTTCTGTGCACTGTACAAAACTCAAACTTGTTCTTGATAAGCTGGCATTAGGAACTCAATATAGGAGCTTTTAAATATCTCATGCTTTTATTAACAGTTACCTTGAAAGTGCACTGCCAGAGATATATGTTCTCCTGTGTGATTTCATGACCTTGAAAAGAAGCTCTGCCATAAAACCAGTTGCAGGGAACGCATAACACCAGTAACCCGCCTCAGACACTTTCACAAAATGGGCAGAACTCCATTTATACACCACCGGGGGTTGAATTTAAATGAGAGTTTGTTTGGTGCAAGTCTACAAACATCACGGAGAACAAGCTGTTGAATTACAACACTATAACAACAATAGAAACAGTATGCCCATATTGTTTGGTGTTGATAGGATTTTTTTTTTCGAAATCAGCTAATATTCAGCACCAATCTATTTATCTGTGTTCGGCTGTGTTTTTTGTGATTTT